GAGGGAGATGTGGGGAGATGTGGGGACCTGAAAAGAGGTGTGGGGAGGTGTTGGGAGAGGTGGGGAGACCTGGAAAGGTGTGGGGAGAGGGAGGTGTGGGGAGGTGTGGGGAGATGTGGGGAGCAGACCAGTGTGTAGGTGAAGGCCCCTTGCAAGCGGGCGGGCAGGGCGGGCGGACAGGGCGGGCGGGCGGGAGGGTAGCAGGAGCACTTCAGCGGTCTTCCCGAACACATCGGCCGCGCATGTTTCGGCCCATGGCAAGTTTGGTTCTCGGGCAGCTGCCAGCCTCGGAAGTATCCATACCAACCAGACCGGGACGGGCGCGGAGACGCGGGACGCGACCGGACGCGAACGAGGGCAAGTACATGCTGTTATCGACTGTCGCCAGCCTCCGGCACCGCGGCGCTCTTGAGCCGAAGGAAGTCCGAGAGTCGGAATTGTGTACGCGTACTGTTATTGATGGGAGAATTAATGCTAATTATGTAGTACTTCCGTCGTGCGTCCGCAGGCTACCAACGCAATGCGGCTCATGAACTTTACGCAGGACCGGGACCTGCTGCAGGCGGTGCGCCTTGCTGCTCCTGGAGAGGCCTCGACTGCTGTCCTCTTCACGGCATCGTACCCTGACGGGGGCTCAGAGCAGGTCAGCATGGGCAACGACGTGCAAATGTATGTGCGGCTGGCAGTGAAGAATCTGCGTCGCTTCGGCCACCGCCCAATGGTCCTTACCGAGGCCAAGGCGGCCGCACGGCTCTGCGGCGGCATCGCAATCGTCGAAACTCAAACGATCTGCGGCTTCCAGGACGCGATCGCACCACACGAGCGTTGGCGTGCCGTGGGCGTCACATCTCGCCACTACTATGTTCTCTTCCTTCAGCGCTGGCGGTTGATCGCTCGCACGCTGCGACTCGGCTACTCGATGCTCTCCCTCGACACAGACATATACTGGTCAGCCGACCCCCTCGCGGTCGCCACAGCCGCGCTGCCAGGCGTCGGCGTCGCCGTTGCGGTCGACCAGCCCCCTCCACTACCGCCATGGCAGTCACCAAACCACGAACCAAATCTAGTACCTGGGTACGACCCCACCCCGCCCCTTGGGCTCAACAAGGTTTTCCGGAAAACAAAAAGGAAAACAGAGGGTCCCCAGCAGCAGCACTTTGCGTTTCCGGAAATTTCCAGGGAAAACAGAGGGGGTGTTTGGTGCTCCATTCTGGAAACTCGCGAGTTTCCCTGAGTCTGAGAGCTGGTGTCTGGGTGGGGCAAAATCTGAGGCAAAATTGAGAAAATCGACAAAATACCCAGGCGGTCGCAGGGTAAGTTCCAGGTATACACGGGTTCTCCGCAAAATTCCCGGCATTTTGCCGATTTGGCCAGGTGGCGTTTATAGCCCCCCGCTACCCGGTTGCACTCGTGCGACGTAGCGGGGGGCCACGACTACGTTTACGAAAACATAAGTAGTCCCGCGAGGTGTGAATTGGCCGCCCCAGTAGCCCTTTCCAATTGCCTGATTTTGCGGCGCGTCCACAGAGCGTCCAAACTTGTGTTTGGGCGCGAACCGTATCTCGCAACGAATCTCGCCGGCCTCACCGGCCCACACCGGCCCTCACTTTGACCGACGCTACCGTCCGCTCGACTGGCCGATGAAGAGCGACCCGTGCGACGCGCACTTGTCGTCCTCCCTCCTCGCCACATGACGGCCGCCCTCCGACACCGACAGTCGCGCTCCGCACGCCTTCGAGGTCAGCTGCGGCCGAGCGACGATCGGCTCGCCTCCGATCGCTCGGCGCGGTCACTCTCCGGCCCATCACCCGCCTGCCGATCACCTGTCCGCCTCGCCGCGCGCGGGCCGCTCGCCTGCTCGCCACCGCCGCCGCGCGTCCCCGCGCCGCCACGCTTCCCTGTGCACCTGACGGCGCTGCGCAGACGGCGCGCTCTGGCAGATAGAGCAGCGGCCGCCCAGGCGGTCGCTGCTCCGCCCCGTCCGAATCCGTCCGCCCGCGCGTGCCGCTGCCGCCGCCGCCGCCGCCGCCGCCGCCGCGTTTCCCCGCGCCGCCACGCTTCCCTGTGCACCTGACCGCGCTCGAGCTGCGCACAGACGGCGCGCTCAGGCAGACACGAGACAGAGCAGCGGCCGCCCAGGCGGTCGCTGCTCCGCCCCGTCCGAATCCGTCCGCCCGCGCGTGCCGCTGCCGCCGCCGCCGCCGCTCCACCCGGTGCCCGTGTGTCGTGAGAGTTGCTTTGTGTATGTGTATGTCGTATGTGTGTGGACTCATGTCACACTTGAGCCTCTATATCTATGATAGTAGACCGGTACTCGGGTTTGGATGGTAGCGGGGGGCCCCGCCGGAGGCTGGTTACTGATTTTTGCTTGGCCGGGTATCATGATGAAATTCTGCAAAAACCTGACCGGCCCCTGCCCTGCCCCTACCTACCTACCTACCTACCTACCCTACTTATGGGAAACTAAAAAAGAAATCACCGGATGGGTGAAGGTGGGGTACTACACCAACTAGAGTGATGGTTGGTGGCGTCTGAACCACACGTGTCCCTCCATTCACACTCTCCCAGTCCTTCCTGGTCTAGTGCCCGTCTTCTCCGCCCGTCGTGCTGAGTTGGGCTTTCTTCGTCCTTCAGACGTTTCACCTAGAGCAAGCAGGGCGGAACGCCCCTTGGTCCACCCGCCGCCCGGGTGGGGCTTGCACGTGGCAGCGACTCGACTGGTCGCGTCAGCCCCTTTGTGAAGCCTGACACGCTATCCACTGCTCAGGCCATGCCTGACACGCCCACCAAAGCCTTGGAGTCTTCCGAAATTCGGGATCTCCTACATGGCGCTAAACAAGAAGCTGATGCAATGGTGACGGAATGCAGTTTCGACCGTGCCGCCGCCCTCGACGGGCTTGCGGCGAACCTGGCCACTCTTCTCGAGTGGAGCCGACTGCATCACAGCGATGGCATCGCTTTCTTCCTCACTACGAATTGCGCTGTCTACATAGATAACATTGCGCCCACTGTTTGCTGCACCCAACACGATGCGGTGCGCTGCGCGCGCTACGAGCTGAAGCTGCTCAAGACGCGTGCCTTTGCCGACTTGCTCGAGTTCGTCGCCGATGACAGTCAGTCACCCACCGCCGATGATTTTGCGCAGGTCGGAACTGTCCACAAGACGGTCTCTGAGAGACAGGCTGCGGTTGTGGCCGAGATCGTCGTCTCCCAACGCGTCATCAAGCGGATCGACAACCTTGTCACCGAGGCGCTTCTCAAGGCCTTCTTTTCCGACGACGCGCTGCGGGCCATCTACCGCGAGAAGGCCGACAAGGTCAGTGGCGCTGGTGGCACTTCCGTTGCCCTTTTGGCTGCAATCCGCTCCGACATTGCTGGAGTTCGGCCGAAGCTCCAGAGGATCATCCTCGAGACTGTCGGCGTCAAGCCTTTTCTAGCTGCTGGTTTTGGCACTCAGAGTGGACGGGTCCACTCCGACTTTCGGCGGCGTTACCTCCGCCTCACCCGGGCCAACGGTTGGCTCGAGGACGAGCGGCTCAATTCCACACAGCTTACTGCGCTCCTCCACAAGTTCCTCTCCGAGCTGACCAGTGCGTCTTTCCGATCCGACGTCGACGCCGCGCTGAACGCCATCGTCTGCGCGATGCGCAGCGCCGTCATCACGGACATGGATGAGGCCGCGGTTCTTGAGGGGGTCGGCAACGCCAATGAGGATGCCGACACCGCTGATTCCGAGTGCCGGTCCCTGCTCAGCGCCATCGTTGAGGTCTGCCGCCGGTGCGATCGGGACGGCATTACGCTTTGCGCTAGTGCCCGGGGCGCTGGCCCCGTCGCGCGCGCCGCCGCCGCCGCTGGCACTGGCCGTGGGGCCGACAAGGCCGGCGACGATGACGAGGACCCCCGAGTTGCCAGGATTGTCGAGCTGCTTACCGCTTCCTTCGCTTCTGCCCAACAACGGCGGACGCCGCGGGAGACTGCGGGCGCCGACACCACCGGCGGTGCTCCCCCTGCCCGACGCCCCGCGACGCGCGACTGCTCCATCTGCCTGCTCAAGGGTAAGGGCACCTTCAAGCACTATTACGACGACTGCCCTGAGCTCAAGGGGCTTACCCCGGAGGCCATCAACGCTCTCAAGAAGGAGGCTCGCGCCGCGGGGCACGACTCCTGGTGGACTGAGAAGGAGGCCAAGAAGGAGGCGAGGAAGGCTGCCGACAAGGGCAAGGGCGGCAAGCAGGGCCGCTCCCGGGGCGGGGGCCGCGGGGGCCAGCCTGCCGATCCTCCCAAGAGCACTGCCCTTGCGCTTTCCAAAACCAAGGAGCTCACTGACACCATCCGTGGGCTGCTCGCGCTGACCCCCCCGCCGTCCCCCCCCTCTGGCGACATGGACGCGCTCGACGATGTCTCTGGGCCGACCGGTGCTCGCGTTGAGCGTGGGCGGGGCTCTATCCACAACGGGGTTGCCGACCAATCACTTGCCAACCCTGACATGAGCATCGCCGAGCTCCTCTTCACCTCGTTTGGGAGCCTTCTCCGGCGCCTCGCCCTGTGGTGCGCTGCCCTGCCGTGGCGCACTGTCTGTGTCGCCGCCTACGTTGCGCGCGCCCCTCGCCACGCCGCGCGCTGGCTCTGCAGCCGTTGCTGGGCTGCCCCTCCTCCTCCCCTCGTTGACCGCAATGGAGAGTTCGCTGGCCGCCTCACCAAGCTCCTTTCCCCCGAGACCTTCTCCGAGCTGCGAGGCAAGGTCTTGGCCGGCGACACGGCTGCTCTACGCGCCGCCGGTGCCTGCGGCGGTGATGCGCCTGTCCTTCTCCGCCCCGCCGACATCGAGGAGGGCTCCGCCCTCTCGTTGCGCCTCTCCGCAAATGCTGCTGCCTTCATCCCTCTTGGAGTCGGGGATGCTCGCGCTGTCGGGGGCCTTGTGCCTGGCGCTACGCCAGGCACCGCCTTCCAGGCCGCCTTCCCGGCCGCGTGGCTTGACGGCCTATGCGCTGCCGATCTCGCTGAGCTCCTGCGGCTCACCGTCGCCCGTGAGCATGGGCGCATCCCACTTACCTGCTCCCTGTTTCCCGTCGACTGCGCCGCTGCTGTTGACCGGCGTTGTCAGCTTGACATCGCCTACGCTGCTGCTCGAGCCGACGGAGTCGAGGATGCCCACGTCTGGCATTGCGTCCGGCAGCGATGGATAGCAGCCTCGTCTGTCGAACCTCGCCCCTACGAGACTGTCTACGAGTACATCGATGATTGGGTCATCTTCCACATCGATGGCTCCTACACTCTCATTCCTCGTCACGGCGGCGGCGCCGACGGTGTCCACGAGGGCGAGTTGGGAGACGCGCCGGTCCACATCCGGGTGGATCGTCCTCATGTGGCAGGCCACCGTACACTGGCGCAGCGTCCAACAGCCCTCCATTGCGCTCTCCTCTTGCCAGTCCGAGATCATGGCTGCTTCTGAGGCTACCAAGGACGTCCTGAGCTACCGTCGCCTTAAGGCCGAGCTCGAGTCGTACGTCAAGGACGGCGAGATCGTCACCCCTCCCGAGGCCCCGCCCACCAAGCAGTACTGTGACAACCAGGCCGCCATTGCCTCAGCCTACAACCCCGAGAACCACGGCAGGCTCAAGCACGTCGAGCGGCGCCACTTCTTCATCCGCGAGGCCATCGAGGAAGCCAAGATCTGTGTTCCTTTCGTCCGCAGCGACGAGAACCTTGCCGACTTCTTCACGAAGCCGCTCAAACCCCAACGCTTCTTCGAGCTGCGGGACAAGATCATGAATGTCAAGGAGCCTTCCTCCCAGTCGGATGGGAAGTGAATCTCCGTCACCGATCCGTCACCGAGACGGAGCGCGGGCGCCGGCCGCGAGCGCGAACAGTGCCGCCCCGCCCCCACCCGCGAGAGCCATAGACTCTCCAGTGCATGTCATCCAGTCCATGCCCCGTCGAGAGGGACACTCTCCTCTCTATCCATGTGAGTGACTCGACTACGTCGAGGGGGGGGACGTCTGAACCACACGTGTCCCTCCATTCACACTCTCCCAGTCCTTCCTGGTCTAGTGCCCGTCTTCTCCGCCCGTCGTGCTGAGTTGGGCTTTCTTCGTCCTTCAGACGTTTCACCTAGAGCAAGCAGGGCGGAACGCCCCTTGGTCCACCCGCCGCCCGGGTGGGGCTTGCACGGGTGGTACTCTCCTGCATCCACAGTCCTTCTTGTGACATGGGAGGCCACTCTCAAGCCCTACAAGCATCAGATCACCCATTTGGGGAGGGTTGACATCGTGATTTCCGCGGAAAATTTCTTTTTCTGCTGTGTCCTGTGAAAATTCCAGCTTGAAGAGAGAGGGAAAAACCCGACGGGAGGGCCCAGACCTACCCTACCTACCCCGTCATGATACCCGGCCAAGCAAAAATAAACGCCACCTGATTTGGCCTAAAATTTGGTTGATTTTGGGCCCAAACCAGCCTCAGACTCGGCTCAGCGCGGGGCCCCAAATTTGCCCCTTTCCCCGGGGGGGCCCCCGGAACCTCCCGAGGAAAAGGGGGGGTGTCCCCCCGAAAACCCCCAAGGAAACCCCCCCCCCCCCGGGAGGCCCCCCTTTTTCCGCCCCCCCCCCCCCCCCCGGGGGGGGCAGCGTAAACTCGGTTCTCTCGCCGCGGCAGTGTGCTACTCCGAGGACCTACGAGGGCTCACAACACATGTACAATGTATGCATATGATGCGCACTTCGTTCAGCAGCGACTCCGCCGCCAGCTACAGCGAGCGGCACCTCATCCCCGCCCTGCTCGAGCTACAGCCATCGGGCGTCACACTCACGCTCGAACAGAGTAGCGGCGAGACGTGCGCCGAGGAGAGCATGCAGTCGTCGGTCTGGGTCGCTGCGGTGGTCCTATGCGAGCTGATGCAGCGCCCATGCGCCGCCTTCCCCACCGGGGTTGGCCACTGGCGAGGCAAGCGCGTGCTGGAGCTCGGCGCCGGCTGCGGTGCGCCACTGCCGTCTCCGCCGACCCGACGCCGCCTCCGCCCCCTCCTCCCACGCCGCCGCCCTCCGCCTCCCGCGCCGCCGCTCCCTCTGCAGGGGCGTGCGGCATCCTCGCGGCGCGGTGCGGCGCCTCGAGCGTGCAGCTGACCGACCTTGCGCCGCTTCTGCCGCTGCTCCGTCGGAACGCCGCGGCGAACGGCGTCGCCGACTGCTGCTCCGCCGTGGAGCTGGAGTGGGGCTGCCCGCTGCCGCCTTTTCTGCTCGAGCCGTCCTCCCTCGATATCATCCTCGGCGCCGACATCACCGCCTTCGTGCAGAGCCTGCCGCAGCTCACCACGACGCTCCGCCAGCTGTCCTAGATGCAGAGCGGCCCCTGCTATTTCCCCTTTCACTCAAGCCACGACACGACTCTGTATTCACACCCTGACGCTGCACCAACCGCCACCGCCAGGCCAGCTGTGCGCCGCCTCGCCCGGCGCGACGGTGCTGCTCTCGCACACCCGGCGCGGCGGCGACGAGCGCTGGCTACTCGAGGCGCGAGGCGGCCAGGCTGGTGCGAACTCCGCCGCTCGCTCCTCCCCTCAGCCGGTTGCACCACGAACAGGCGCTCGCGGCAGACTTTGAGTGCGAGGAGATATCGGCGCAGCTCCAAGGGAGCGGGCGAGGGAGCGGGCGAGAGGGCGACTCGGAGAGCGGTCGAGCGAGCGAGGGAGAGAGCGGGCGGGATTGCGACCCAGACGAGAAGAAGCCGCCCGAGCCCGCGTGCGGCGGCGCGGCGGCAGCTACGCTCGTCTTCTGCGTCCGTTTGGCCGAGCCACGCCCAGGGCCAGGCGGGGAGGAGGAGGAGGCGTCGCCTGAGGAGGCGGCGGCGCTCGCCGAGTACCGTGCGGCGTGCGAGCGGCTGGGCTTGCGGGGAGTGTGACGCGGTGCTGCCGTTGAGTTCGCCTCTCGAGAGACCAAAGAGTCGCGGTGCTGTCTCGTCTGCTTACTCAACAGTTCAGAGAGAGCCGTACGTCGGGGCCTCCTGCAGGAGAAGCGAGACACTAGTCACGCAGCGTTCGCGGAGAGAGGGGTAAGATACGTGGCTGGGTTGACAGCGATTTTGTAGGTGCGAGTCAGTCAGTAAGCGCGGGTTAGCCGCGTGGGTTCCACCGGGTTAAGCCACACTAACCCAGCACGGGTCAGCACGGGTTAGAACGGGTTACCATAACCCGACGCTAACCCGGCACTAACCCGTCCTAACGTATGCCCCCTTCGGGTTTTAGCGCCGGGTTTTAGCGCCGGGTCGTTACGGCTCTAGTCTTTCACACTGTCGTACGGGGCTAGGGATCCCTACCAGAAATAGAATCATGATACGAGTTTTGCGGTAG